TAGGAAGAATTGGAGGATTATGTATTTCGCAGTTGGGCATAGAAGTATTGCTTTTTTGTGCATAAGAAGGCGGTATTTCCAAATCCATGTACGAAATGTATATTCCTTTAGTTCTTTTTTACAGTATTTGTGTAAATAATTTTTGAAGAGTTTTGATGTCTACATTTTATATGACTTTATGAAATAATTTTGAATAATCATGTAAATAGTAAAATTTCGAATATACTGGTAAATGCGCAAGAAACAAATATAATACCCATGTTATTAAAAATCATAACGAAAGAGCGACTGTGACAATTTTGTACAAAATTACCGAATATTCGTACAAATGTATGTTTTGCAAAAATAAATATTGTTACATTAAATTTTTTAATTTTTGTAAACATGATGAAAAAAAGCATACACAAATTTTTAAATACGAAGAGAATAGAAAAGTACGAATATCACCGTAGAAATGTGTTAATTATTTTAACAGATTATTATGTTTTTGCAATATTTTATCTGTGCGTATGTTTCGTTTAAACTTGAATCTTTAGTAAATAATGTATCAATACTCTAAAGTATTACAAACTAGTAGGAGATTGTATCATTTCATTATTTTATGCTTATTTAAAATATCCTCGATTTCGTCATTAATGTCGTCTTAAAGTATTATAAGCATATGAGAATTTCTATCATTTTACAATTTTAATTTTAAATTTATTTAAAAATTTCTCGTTTACATAAATCTAATGTTATTTTTAAAATAGTTTAAGTGTGTAGCAGATTGTATCATTTTATCATTTACATGTTGTTCTTATTTATAAATTTTTCAGCTATGGAATTAATGTTGTATGTAACGTATTACAAGTAGAAAATTGTATCATTTCATTACCTTAATGTTACGCTTATTCAAAAATTTCTAGATTTTTTTAGGAATGTAATGCTATTGTTATTTGCGTCACAGATTCAAGTTTTGGTAGATAGATTTGCACGTGCAAATGATACATAAAAAATTCATGTATTCATTTAAATGTAATTTCAGTTTGGTTGTATTCACACAGATACATATGGCATGTGATAATAATTTCTACATATATAATATATATTTATTTGAAAAAAAATACATATATATAAGAAAATCATGTTTCATATTTAATTATATTATACAAATATGTATTACGATTTTCTAAAAAGTAAAAAAAAAGAAACGTTTAATTTTTATGAGGATGAACATTAAGTGTTGATGTGATTTTTGATTGCTTTATAACAGTGCTTAATATTAGTTCAACTTTTAGCCGATTTTTCTGGTCACTTAATTTTCATTCTTTTACCGCACGTTTCATAATAACTTGGGCCAACGCCGCATATTGCAAAATTTTTAAATTTAACATGTAACTAAATAATCAGTAGGTGTGTGTATAATCGCCCCGAGGAATGCGCAGGGCATTGTAAATTACAAAATAATCTTTTATTACACATTATTATATGTAACAAAATAATTTTATTTTAGAAGTTTTTTAATGCAATTGTTATTTGCATCTGTCTGTTACATAGATTCTGTTCGAATAAGAAATTTTACCATGAAATGCGAACTGTTTGACATTCGATCTTGAGATTCAAATTGTTGTCTGATCACTTAACTACTAGTCTTGGATTTATTTTTTATTAATTTTTTATTTTAAATATTGTATTAAATATTGTTTTATTTATTTTTCAATTTTGTATGTGTTATTGAAATAATTATAATTAAATATGTACTTATATTTTATTATAAAAATATGTATTACTTGTTTATTTATCTACATGTGTTCCATATTAATGAGACGGCAAAGATTGTTTTTTATACATAAACAATCAAAAGGTACAATAAATTGTAACAAATTTGAAATATTAAATATTTGCTCTATTTCAATATGAATACCAAAGTTATGAATTTAAGATATTTAAAATTATAGTCGTCAAGTAATTAGCAACAGAATGGTAGAATATGAAAATCACACCGATAACTTGTAGTACATTGCGAAGAAAAATGAAGGCAATGACGATAATGATTGTGGCGCATCAAAAATGGAAATGAGGTGAATAAAATAAAAAAGGAAATATTTCTATTTCTGCAAAAAGTGTATCAAATGCATTATTTTTTACATGTCGCAGTATCAATAAATAAAAAGCCACACATATGTTTGATATAGACATTTTTATAGAGAATAGAATATTAATTGAAAGTTAAAAAATTCTTTTAAGAACAACTTTTGCATTATTTGGAAAATATTATTTATCTGTGTTACTGATTTGCTGTAATGTATCCCTCCTCCCCCCTCCCCTTCAACTTGCTCGCTCGCAAAATTGTTATATTACTATACATTCGCATTTTACCGTTCCTCTTGATAACTGTTAGGTAGGTTTAAACGCTGTCAATATTTACGTTCAAATAGAAAAACTAAACGTCTCTTTTTTCGACCACTACCATCAGGCACTTTTTAACGAAATAATATTCGCATCGTCTTCAGTTAAACGCGTTCTATCGTACACATCAGACACAATGTCTTGGGAATCAAGGGCTGAAGAATTTTCCTGGATAAATGAAAACTATCTAAAAAAGAAATCAAACCGCAATTTTCAAGTAAAATGTAAAACTTGCCGAAATCATATTAAATACGCGAAAGTTGATGCGTTTAAAAAACACATGTCTGATGAGCATCAATCTGAAGTTAACATGGAATGCGATATGCAACAAAAGCATGATATGTGGAAATATTTTAATCTAACGAAGAAAGGAAAAGCAAGATGCATTGTATGTGATAAAGTGAAGCGTAGAGAAACGTCAAACGATTCCTTAAAACGTCACGTATCGAAATATCATAAGAAGGAAAAACATCTGAAGCCTTATGAATCACAAGATTGGGTTTGGAAATACATCAACGCAGAGAAAGTTAATAATTTTTTTGGAAAATGTAAGCTTTGTGACACAAAAATGAGGTTTCCGTTGATGCTTGAAAATTTAAGAGATCACCTCCGAGAACATGATGTAATAGTAGACGTTAAACGAGACGTAGAGATGTGGAAAACCAAAATTAATGGAAAGTTGTGGTGGTTGGATATTTTTTATACAATAGCTGAAGAGGATTTTCGAGCAAAATGTAAGGATTGTGAAGACAGTTATTTATATGTCTCCAATACGACGATTGACGAGCACATGAGTAAGCATAAAGATATTTCCGATTATGAAAAATACATGGAGACGACGGAAGAAAGAGAAATATTCTGGAAAGGTATGAGGTTCATAGATGATAAAGCAAGAGAATTAGAATGTATGGTATGTCATGAAATTCTGCCAGATAAGTTCTCCATTTGTAAAAATCATACGATGCAAGAGCTGCTTCCCTATTGTGCTTATTGGGGATATAAATACATGAGACAACTTGGAAATTTGGCGAAATGTACAATTTGTGAAGAAGATGTAGAACTTGTGTGGCAGAAGAGCTATTTAAAAAGTCACGTGTTAAATCAACATAAAAAGAAATATAAAATGAATCAAATATACATGAAAAATCAACAAGCTATTCCGTCGACAAGCCAGATAGCCTAAAAGAATAATAAACGTGAGTTTCAATCATATTTTTTATTAATTATTATTGTTATCATATTATTATTATCATTACATTTTATTCTTTGAGTGGCGTTTTTAATATATAAAAATAACAAAAATCAAGTAATTACTATTTGTTTCTGATATATTATATATGTTTATATAGATTTAACGACATAGAGTTTGATAACTGGAAATGATGGCAGCGACACTTTTAATTAGCATGGTTTGACTTTGACTTAAGTGATTTGAAATACATGAAGACATTGGCATATAATTTGACTTATTTGTCGCATATCAGCTTTATGATTATAAATATATAAAATTTATAAAGTTAGATATATTTATATATTTATAATTTAAATACAATTTTTTAAATTTATAAAATTATAAATTATATTAATAATTTTAAACAATATTTATAATCTTAAAACATGATATGCTTCAAATTTCGCTTTAAAGTCAAAAACTGTGTTTATGCATTTATAAAAAGTAAATCGACTTCATTAATATAACATAACATAATATAACTTTTTTTTTATAGTGACGAATCTTCGAGTGACGTACTCAGTACATATATAATAAAAATGATAAAAATCAGATCATTAGTATTTGTTCGAAATGTATCGAATCGTAGCTTAAAATACATACAATGTCTACGTCACTCGATATTTGAAGAAAGAACAGTTTGCTATTATATATTTTGCAATTGGACCTGAAAATATTACTTATTTGTACAATATTTTCATGAAAAAAGTAGATATCAGAACCTTTAGCGAAACTAACAGGACCATATTAGGAAAGAATTGGAGGATTATGTATTTTGCAGTTAGGCATAGAAGTATTGCTTTTTTGTGCACAAGAAGACGGTATTTCCAAATCTATGTACGAAATGTATATTCTTTTAGTTTCTTTTTACAATGCTTGTGTGAATAATTTTTGAAGAGTTTGGATGTCTACATTTTATATGATTTTATGAAATGGTTTTGAATAATTAAAAAGTAAAATTTCGAATATATTGGTAAATGCGCAAGAAACAAATATAATACCCATGTTATTAAAAATCATAACGAAAGAGCGACTGTGACAATTTTGTACAAAATTACCGAATATTCGTACAAATGTATGTCTTGCAAAAATAAATAATGTTACATTAAATTTTTTAATTTTCGTAAACATGTAAAAAAAAAGCATACACAAATTTTTAAATACGAAGAGAAGAGAAAAGTACGAATACCACCGTGGAAATATGTTAATTATTTGAACAGATTATGTTTTTGCAATATATTATCTGTACGTATGTTCCGTTTAAACTTGAATCTTTAGTAAATAATGTATCAATATTCTAAGGTATCACAAACATGTAGGAGATTGTATCATTTTATTATTTTGTGCTTATTTAAAAATTCGTCGATCTTGTGATTAATATCGTCTAAAAGTATTGTAAACATGTAAGAAAATTGTATTATTTTATAATTTTAATTTTAAGCTTATTTGAAAGTTTTTCGTTTACGAATTTAATGTTATCTCTAAAATAATTCAAGCGTGTAACAGATTGTATCATTTTATCATTTTAATGTTATTCTTATTTACAAATTTCTCAATTATGAAATTAATGTTTTATTTAAGGTATTAGAAGTAGGAAATTGTATTATTTCATTACTTTAATGTTACGCTTATTTAAAAATTTTTAGAACTTTTTTCGAATTTAATGTTACTGTTATTTGCGTGATAAATTCAAGTTTTGGTAGATAGGTTTGCACGTGCAAATGACACATATAAAATTCATGTATTCATTTAAATGCAATTAAGGTTGATTGTATGTTTACACAGATACATGTGGCATGTGATAATAATTGTTATATTTATAATATATATACATGAAAAAAAATATATACATATAAGAAAATCATGTTTTATATTTAATTATATTATACAAATATTTATTACGATCTCCTAAACAATAAAAAGAAGAAACGTTTAATTTTTATCAGAATGGACATAAAGTCTCGAAGTGATTTTCTGTTTGCTTTATGATGAAAGGATTCAAGGATTTAGCGCGCGTGTGTGTTTTGTTTGAGTGATTATTGGTTCTCAGTTAGCTTTTCTTCTTGCAGTACATTGCGCGAGTATTGTACTCTACATATTTACATATTGGACGTAAATCGCGCAGCTTTTATGACATTGGTATCTGTAAAATCTGCAATATTCACGTTGAACTATTAAAACGTCATCCGTTATAATTTTACATAATTATAGAAAAATAATAATTTTTTAATTACAAAAGAAGTGGATGCGAACAAAGAGAAATTGTTACTTTAATTATAATTTAAATTTTATGTATATAGTTTTATCTAACATTGGGTAAAAATGTTTATAACAGACAGATAAATGAACAACCACTGAATGATCTGTCAAGTTGCAAAGTATTTCAATCTGTTATAACAAAGAATAATGATAATAATATTATAGAAATATTTTTTTTACTGTGATAGATAAGTTATTATTAATATTATACATATGTTATTATTAATCTAATATAATATTTTACATTTATATTATTAATATATAAACCTTTTGTTTGAAGAATTTGGAAATTCAGATTACATACATCGAAGCAGTTGAACACAAAAGAGAGGCTAATGTTTCTTTTACGAAGGACACAGTAGATAAACTCTCTCTTTTCTTCTTCTCTCTCTCTCTCTCTCTTCCCCCCCCCTCCCTTTTTTCTCCTCTCGCTATTGATTGTGTACATATCAATTAATAATATCTCAATACAATACTGTTTTTCGATTGATCGTTACATTTAAAAAATCCCTAGAATATTAAGACGAAAGAGTGAGTAAATATATAATTGAAGAAAATACTGTTATTCTGTTCTCGCAGGATCCTCGCCCAGTCGTCTGGCGACGAGCAGAACGACTGAAACCGCCGACGAGAGGATCGCCCCTGTTCCAGAATCTCCGAAGCAAAAGGTATGCTCTTGGCGATTGCGCTTACAACATGATCGGTCGATCGATCAAGGCGGATAAGCTTCTCGTAACTTTCTTTCGCCGGCTCCCCTCTTAATGAGCGTCATTATATCATTTTGTTCGTAGTAGTTACGTAAGTCGCGGGCTTTTCAGAGCTCCCTCAAGCTTTTCGCGGAGAACCATCGTGTGGTAACACGTTGAGTGCGACGATTAATAATTTCTTAAATTTATTCTTACGCGAGGACGTATAAGGAGTTGTTCTTGTAAATCGTTCGATTCCATTGTATAATTTATTTTCCACAAATGACATTGCAAAATTTTGACGATGTAAATCATGAAATATCTCATATCGCATTTGGAATGCGCACCGTAAACAAACTTCACACGTGCCAAGTCGAGCTTATGTCTTCAATACTCAACGTGTTAATCTTTCGCTCTTTATCTCTCTCTTTTTTTGCCTCTCTCTCTCTCTCTCTCTCTCTCTCTCTTTAATCATGCATCGCGCATTCATTGCGAGAGCAGTCGATCGCACTGCGCTAATCATATTCAGACGCGCGAACAGACAGAAGGCGATTTTTCAGAATCGAATTTTGCATTCTTTTTCCCCGTCAAAATCGAAGCCGAGAATTCCAAGGAAAATCGATATATCGTGATTCCTCATTCCGCTCGACAAGCTCGTTCGTTCATACGCGATTTGCCTTGACAACGACGTCATCTCGCATTGCAACAACAAGTGTCGTCGTCGCGTTTGCGTAATCACGTGCGCATTATCGACACACAGGCGCGTTCCTCTTTCTTTCTTTTTTTATCACTCTTCTTCCATTATTTCGCTTAATGACCGGTCGAAGACGAGAGCGTAGGCGAGACGAGATAGTCCTGACGCACGTACACGCATAGTCGCACACGCACACCCTCGCACGAGAGAACGATCGGTTATGTTTTTCATATTTCCGCAGAAATCCATCCAGATTATGTGTGTGTTCGATGAAATTTAATAGCAATAAATAGACGTGATAGTGTGCAATGTGCCAAAGTGACGTTGTGTTACGTGAAATATTTTGTATCCTTAGCAGCTTTTGCGCTTGTGCGATTCGTAAAGATCACCGTGTAGCGTAAAGATTTGTCATGTTTATGTGAATTGTCATTCGTCGTCGTGTTCTTGTGGGACGAAGACTCGAGCGCGCGACACGTTTTTTCGGCTTTTGTTCGAGAAAGATTTGCGTCTCGAATCCTCGTAACGTGGTTTCGCGTGTTCTTCCGCGTCGTGAAAAACGACTGGAGGAAAGGTCACGGAGCGACGAGTCCTTCTCGACGAAGAAACGCCGCGGTTGGCGTGCGCGGTTTCTGTCCCGGAGATCCATTTGGCCGATGATTTCGCGGCCGGCAACGACCGCTTCTGTCAGTCATTCAAGCCCGCCTTCGTGATCCCTCCGGACTCTTCCTCGTGCTTGCCGCGTGTCCGCTATCGCTACTTAGGTCGATACGGACGGTCGTCCTTAATAAGCGGCTCGGAGGCTGTTGCATTTGCATTCGCCATTAACGGGGAGGGAAGTGACGCGCGTCGACAAATTTTCGAGCGAGTGAAGTAAGACGGTGGAGAAAATGCGCGCGGCCACACTCTTGCAACTCGTAAATTGCAACTCTCTCTCTCTCTCGTTCCTACAATTGAATAATCGCGCGCAAGCGAGACGTGGTTGCTCGAAAAGGGAACGCGAGCGCGGTCGACTCGCGAATTTCTTCAAGGTCTCCCGACAGCCGAGATTCGTTCTCCGTCATTTCCGTGTGGCCGCGAACTCGCGCGGCCTATCTCGGCGCGTCTCGTGCACACTATGGGAATGTTACTCGAGGCAGGAGTCACGCGATACGAAGTTACGATGACAATTCCGTTGACAGTGGTGAAATCGGCGCGCGTCAGCTCGCAAGTCGGCCGGAGCCAGCAGCAAAACGATGGTGTGCTGCGCGGCGCGTGTTACGAAACTCCGCCGGGTGGCGTCTAAGATACCGCGCGTATCGCTCGCGCGCGCTAATTACTCTTATCGCGCGACTTTCGTCGACCCACCATGCCGCCGTTTCCCCGCTTCGACTCATCGCGCAGTCCCGTCTATCCGCGAGCGATTCGCCAAGTTGACGGAATCGGAAACGGCTTGGAGCGATCATTGCGTACAAGCCGATTCGTCGGAGAGGAATAAACGCGTGCCACGCCGCGACGTGGCACGCTTGCTCGACGTCGTCGTCGGGTTTCGTTCATCGCGATTCGCGCACAATCGTCCCTCTGCAGTTAAAAGGCCAGCGCGGCGTGGATCGAAAAAAAGTTCGAGTTTCCTTCGTTGATCGAAAAAATAGGGATTAAGAAAAGCAAGCACGACTGAGGCACATACGGTAAGTATAGACGCGGATGATCCGCGCGTTAAATCAACGGGAACTGTCTGTCGCTCGTCCTCGCAATTGAAACATGCGTGTCAACATCCTTCTCTCATCGTTTATTTTTGTTCTCCAGGAGGAAAGCTTGGACTTAATGGGGCAATATAAACCTGAAATATTCTGCTAGAAGGTAATTCCGCTTTGTCGTTATTGTTTTGCTTGCTTATGGTTGATTGTGTTGGGTAACTGCATGCTAGCATGCTCCGAATCGCACGTACACTGTTCGTTGCGCGCGCGCGCGACACACACACACACACACACACAGACAGAGTGTGATTCGGAAAGGCGAGATTTTTCGCTAGATTGTGTCTACTTAATATCCTTCCGTTAATAACGATGCAAAAATAGAATTAGTAATCATATTCATAAAAAGAGACGAAAGAGAAAGAGAGTGAGGTTTACTCGTCGCCGGAATGTCTTATTACCGCTCGCAGAAATTGTTACGTTTCCTCGTGTCATGCCAGTTAACGACACTGACGAGCGCTTAAACGCTTATACTCGCCGTACGCTTGAAATTTTGCGATATACGACACACGCACGAGCCTTCATTGTCCAGTCATTCGATCCGTTTATACTCCATGGTCTTCAGCGACAGAGAATAATTTCCACGTCATGTTTCATGAAATTCGTTTTTTTTTCGTTTTTTTTTTTTTTTTTTAATAGTTTGAAAGCACTGAAGAATTTCAATGAAATATAAATTGCGAATCAGTGCTGGGAAAAAGAGGTGCTTCAGAATAGAAGATGGTGAATAAATATTTTAGTTTCGCTAAAAAAGCTTCAACTGTAATAGCTTGAAGTATTATTGAAGTAAATAGCAACGTACATAAAACATACTGTTCTGAATTATATACATCATACTATCTCAAATTTATCAAGGAATATTTTTAACGCCAAACTATTTATAACACGCGGCTGATCGCTGATTTATACGAGGAATATATTTACGAGGTATTTCATTTTGAAATACATATTATTGGAGGAATGAATTGCATTGCATTTTCAAGGAAAGAATTTCACTTCATTATCTATTTCTATTTGTATCTTTAATAAATATAAAATAAAGAACAGGCATGGAAAATGGAAGAAAGATCATCGGATGAAGTAAACATTTCATTTTGGACAAATGTAATTTTAAATATTAAATATTATTCGCTTGTCGCGCATAAATACGAAATATTTATTTGCAGGCGGTGCTTTTTTATAATTACATTCTTTCGCTGAATTTATTTCCAGTGAATCTAAGCTGAAATTTTTCCCAGCGCTGACGGAGAAACCGCTGCGTCAAGTTTCTCGCGACCAAACCCGCTTGTTTCCATTCAAATAAACAACTTGCACAGATGCGCATCTCCGCGGATATATTTTTACATCTCGCCACACACACACACACACACACACTGTACACACTGGCTAAAAGAATCGATCGGGAAAACGATCGATCACCGTCAATCGACCGGGCTGGTAGCGCCTCGCACTTTTCCAGACGACTCGTCGCCCGTCAGCCTTCGCCGTAGCTCTCGCGGACGCCGTCGATCGAGCCCGGCCAATAAATTCCGACACCGGAAACGGCCGTCCGTAACGTTTCCGGGAGCGTCCGTCACGTGCCATTTTGAAAACTCAGAAACTCGCGTCTCGTGACTCTCGTGCTTTGCGTTTAAACGGCGAAGCTCGACGCCCGAGCAGAATTACATTCGCTTCGTACATCGCGGAGTCTAGTAAATGCTGAAGAGAGTAATTAATCATGAGCGGCGAGTCGCCGGAGCGCGACGTTCTATTTATATGTCATTGCCATTCGTTGCGTGTACCCGATACACGCACGCACGCACGCACGCACGCACGCACGCACGCAATAGAAATCGGACGCGCGGTCAGCAGCCTTTCTGCCGTTCTCAGCTAGTTCCACGCAGTCGAATCGGTGGTTCTGTGTTCTGTTTCCCGTTGTACGCGAGAGACCACGATTAACGGTAAGAAAACATCGAAAATTCGCTTTCTCTCCGAGCTTTTTAAAATCCTGCGCAAAAAAAAAAGCTTGATCATAAAAGTGAAAAGACATTATTACAGAATGGCTCTAACGGCGCTTGAAAAAATTCTACGGGAAAGAAACAGCGAAATGTTGACGGCGGATTTAACGAAGCGTATCATCGACGTCACTTCGTCGCCGAACAACGACGAGTGAAATCGGTTAACACGTAATAACATCGCGTTTATCATGTCACGATCAAATTAATTAATCACTCGTTTAATATCCCTGGAAAATCAAATGTGCGATGCATAAACGGCGCGACGCGATAAGAGCTGGGCAAAAACGTGCATTTTCGACGGCGATCTGTTTTAATTAATCGCGATTAATCATATCGTCGGTATACTAATGCACTTATGATATCCGGCGCGTAATATTTAATACGCAAAGAGAAAGCGATCGCGATGGAAATCGCGGATTCTTTTTTGTCGCACGATCGATCGCGCCGCTTTATTTAACCGCCTATGGAAAACTCATGCACGTGGCGTCGATGAAAGTTTAATGGAGATCGATTTTGCGGTTAGCAACCTATCATCCATATAATTTTTCAGCCAAGGAATCGTTACACGGATATCACACGATCTCGCGCTCTGATCTCTCCGGACGCGACAAAGGCAGGCTCGACCTGATCGCCAAGTCGCTTATTTAATCAGTTTTCCCTCGCAGTGTGTAAATAAGTAATTAGCGTTTCGCAATTTGTTCGTAAAAAATCGTCTCGGTCGAGTAGATTTTTTTTATCACCATCGCTGACAGAGTAACGCTCGATGAAACGTCGATAACGCCGGAAAACTTTTGCAACGTGGAATATGTTAGCGGATGAGGCTTAGCGCATATAAAGAATTTCATGAGAATCTCTTTACGTCGCTCACGTCGATAGCTCGAAAGATCAAAGAGAAACTGCAGAAAGAATATTTGAAATGCGAGCGTCATTTTCTCGCAGTCATATTTTCCTACGAATTTCGCATGCATTTCATTTGTCCGCGACAGAAATTTCGCGTGACACCGTTTCTTTCTCTCGGCGCTTATTCCGCTTTTGCAATGCGACATTCTCGTCGCTACAGTTGTATGATATACGCGACCTGTTGTTGCGATACGACGGTGCCGCGGCGCCCTGCATAGGAGTCGCACGGTTCGATGCATTATTGGATTCGCCGGACACATTAGATGCATATTGCGATAATACGAGAGATATACGGCCAGGCCGCTATTGTGGAAATTCGCTAGCTGTGCAAAAGCGACGGCAAGAGGCCCGACACGAGGAGCTTTCGATATTCAATGGCTCGTTGCAAATGCGATCAACAATTTGCCAATATTCATCTCCAGTTTTGCGCGCGCTCTGCAAAGAGAATCGCAATTTCCGCCGCGATAATAATTTCGCGGGGTTTCGCCTTGAAAAAAGTTTCGCGCTTTCGCAATTGGGATCGTGCGTAAAAAAAAGTTTCGCTCGGAATGCATTCGCGGTGCAATCGCGCTGGTGGTGGTCTGCGTAAAATTGCGTGCACTGGGAATTTTATTTATCAGCGCCGGGAGAAGCGAAAAGGAACAACGACGAATAGCCTCGATGTGATGATGATGCAGGTGGGGTCGCGTCTGGGGATGCGGAGGGATCCGTGCGCCGCATGCGGGCTGCCAGTCTTCCTGGCGGAGAAGCTACTGATAGCGCGCCTGCCTTATCACCGTACGTGCTTCCGGTGCGCCCGCTGCGGCAACCAGCTGACGCCGGGCAACTACTACGAGACCGAGGAGGGCCAGTACTGCTGCGAAACGTGTCCGGACGAGGAGGTGCCGCCGGCCGGCCTGCGACACAAGTACACCGAGCCGACAGCGATGTCCGGCGTGGAACGGAAGGAGCCGCCGAGGTCTCTCAGCGACGAGGAGAAGACGGAGAGAAAGGTCAGTTTTCCTCATCGGCCGAATAGGCGTCCTCGCGTTTGAAGGGGGAAAAAAAATTAACCGTGCGAAACTTTTCTTATTCACAGGACGCGCGGAGCGTGTTGGAGAATGCCGCAGTGCCCGACTTGATCTCCCACACGTCGCAAATGCGCAAGAGCTTCATGGCCAGCCACCTTCTTTCCGAGAAGATCGACGAATCCGCTGCGAGAGATGCGAAGGCTATCGAGGCCGATTCCGATTATCGCGACGATGCGAAGAGCAGGATCGGCTCGGCATTCCCAGACGACGACGACGACGACGAGGATGAGGAGGAGGAGGAGGAGGAGGAGGAGGAGGAGGAGGGTGAAGAGGAGTCCGGCAGCTTGGCGACGGATTCCCCCGATATGGAGGAATCCAACGTCGAGCGATACGATGTACATAGCGCGTTAAATAGCTTAGACATTAAGAGCGACAAGGATCAACAATCGACTGCCATTTCATTCCATGACGTAGATAAGAGAAGAAGAGGAGAAGATACCAAAGAATCGCCGGGACGCGCCGGCGAACGAGTCAATCCCGAAGCGAGATTATCTTTGGTTCAGAGGAGGCTCCAAATGTTTGAGTCGCGGGACAGAAAGGATGACGTCGAGAGGGAAGACCGGAGTGTGACGGACGGTCCGACGGCTCGGGACGATTCCTGGGACCGGGCGCCGGACGTTCTTCGAACGAACGAGGAGAAATGTCCGGAGGAGAAACGGGACTCGACGAGCGACAGTACCGAGAAACGTGAGAACAACTTCGAGAACGTCGGCAAAGAGCGGAAAGTGGAGGACTCGAGGATCACGAGTATCGAGAGACGCGAGGAGAGCTTCTCGAAGAATTCGACGCGGACGAATAACGAGGAGCGTCTCGACAAGCAGCCTGAGAGAAGCTCGCGAGCCAGGAGTATCGAAAGACGAAAAGATGAGAGGTCCTCGTGCGAAGATCCCGCGGGAAGCGACGTGCTGACCGCGAAGGCTATCGATTTGAGCGACGGCAAGGATTATCCGGAGGACCTGAATCCCTTCAACAGCGACGAGGAAGACAGCGCTGTAGGCGACACGCTGCGGACCGCGATAAACAGTTCGAGGAGCGGCAAAATGTCGACGAATCCGTTCGACAGCGAGGACGAGGACGTCGAGGAGCACGAATTGCCGAGGCCAGCGGCCAGGAGCAGGATGGAGAACTGGAGGGCCTCCACCGGGACACCCACGACCAAGCGTGTTCTCGCCGCACCGCAAATTAATCTCAATCCATTCTGGAGCGACGACGAGGAGGAGGGAGAGCGCGATAGCGATGAGGAGAGACGGGACAGAACGCCGCAAGGAAGTGCGCCCGTTCCGAAACCGCGCACTATCAAGTAAGTTTGTGCATTATTACAGCGACACTCGAGAACAGCACTAATCTCCTTTTGTCTTACGCGAGCAGGACCACACCGGAGGCGGTGAGCGTCGCGGTGTCGCGTAGAGCCGATCTGAATCGCGGAGGGCAATACGCGTCCAATAGCTCATTAACCAGCTCCGAATCGACCACAACTCCCGGTGGAACGTACAGGAAGAAAAAGCCGCCCGCGCCGCAACCGCCGGCCACGAGGGAATTGTTTCCGTCCGATCAGCGCGAGTCGCCTGCGCGAAAGTCAACGTGCGATAGCACATCGCTCTCGTATCATGTAAGTATTCGGTATACTCGAGAGTGTTTGATCTGATTTTATTCTCCGATACACTTGAAGTCAATTCTATTGAATATAGAATCAGGTTTGTTGTAGATGTGCATATACATTTCCAAGAAAGAATCAGGCTTTTATAATTTGATCCCTTTTTGATTGATGAAAGAACTCATCGCCTCGCACGACGCCACGGGCTCGGAAAAGTAAACCGGCACCTCCGCCGCCAATGCCGACCAGCACACCGGTATCGATTGGCAGCGCATTGAGCTTCGACGAATCTCCCATAATCAAGCTTCACGGCACCGACGATGATCTGAACATGTGGGAGGACCAGAAGACCAATAAAGATGAAGCGAATCGAAATAGGCAGAGCTTGAGCGGCGTCTCGTGCGCCGACAGTCTCTCCTACAAGTCTTACGCTGATAAGAGCGTGCAAGGGAAATGGAAGAGGAAAAAGGGCCCCGCCCCGCCTCGGCCAACTCCGCACAGGAGAAAGGTATAATCCTTCTCGCGTAATATGTTATGATTGCACGAGTGCACCTTGTGCTAGTTTCTTCCTGTTTAATTTTTAACCTCTTAACGCGTAAAATACATAAATTGTTTTAACACGTTCAACCCGATGCACAATTTTCTATGCTTTTTATTGAATGGCGCGGAACGAGATATCGGAGCTTCTTAGTGTTTAGTATTGATACGATTGCTTCTCTCTATTGTTGTATTCTTATGCATATTTTGCAAAATTATGCATATTATTTGAATAATTGTTTAGGTAGACAATAAAAATGATGCATTTTATAAGGAATTACTATATTTTTTTTTATTCATTACATCCCTATTTTTCCATTTGTAAGACTATATGTAAATTCAATTTTTAAATATAAAATTATTATCTTTTATCGATGCAGTTGTAATTTATGATTAACGATAATAGTTGAATCAACGTTTCACAGACATGCGAATACTAAATATATGGCACTCTGATTCACCAGTGGATCAAGTCGGGTTGAATATGTTAAACATTGAGACCTTCAAAGCCTTTGATGAGTGGAAAAAGTTTCAAGCGACACAATTTTAATTGCAGATCAAAGTGATATCTATGAAAGACGTGAAATTAGAATTAGATGAAATAGAATTGCAACAGCAAGGCTTGGAGAGGCAAGGTGTACGATTGGAGCAGCTGATACGAGATAAATGCGAATCCGGATCCAGAACAGAAGGTAAAACAAAAAATAACGCACGCGGTATGAGAATTCACGTGCGTAAACACGTAATTAACGATTGATCGATAACGTAATTTACAGATTCCTCACTCGGCATAGACGTGGAGGAACTAGTTTTAGAGTTGTTCGCGCTAGTGAACGAGAAAAATGAACTATTTAGAAGGCAGGCCGAATTAATGTTACTGCGGAGGCAGCAAAGATTAGAGGAAGAGCACGCTGAAGTGGAGTATCAAATACGATGTCTCATGTGCCAACCGGAAGCTACAAAAACAGACTTCGATAAACAGAGAGAAGAAGCATTGATACAAAGGTATCCAGTTTTGAAAGTGTGCAGAACTTGAAAAAATCTATGCGCGTACAACATTTAAAAATTGAAAGCGCACAAACGTGTGAATAATATTTTTTCAATTTATAGGTTAGTGCAAATCGTCGAGAGACGAAATGAAATTGTCGAATGCTTGGAAATGGATCGCCGGAGGGAAGTGGAAGAGGATAAGAGCATAAATAAACATATGGGCTTATTTGCTGGTAGGTTAACAAGATGGATTTATTTGAGGTGTGAAATATGATATTTCTCTCTATCGGATTATCGTTTATCTTTTAGCGAGAAATAAGAACGATCTATCGAGCAGAGATAACGATTCTTCTAACACGGGGGAAAACGAAGAAAGGGAAGATAAAGGAAAAATTGAAAGAAAAGAAGTCGAAAAAAGCTGCGAAGAAGGACGCTGATAAGGATGTAGATGAGACTGAGGTGAAACTCAAACGTCATAATAAACGAAAGTGGTTTTGAGTTGTTACAGTGTTAACAGTTAACGATTACAATAAATACGTATAAAATATTTTGTATTTAATACTTTTATACATATTTTTAACACTTTGTTATTTATATATGTAGGAATTTATGCTAAAGTTATTAATAAAATCGCCTGTTTAATTGCACGACTTCGTACAATTGTACAAATTATTTAGTAGCTAAGTAATTTACAAATTTGGGAATATGTCAGATCTTCTGCAGAATCTTCAATATCCGAACGGATGCATCAATTGATTGTATCGAGATGGTTGATCTTGGTGGGATACATTCTTCAAACACAAGATTGTAATTTCCTGAAATCAGTCAAATCACATTTCTCTTATATGATATTCTCTCCAAATAAAGCTTTCTTGGTTCGCAGCATAGAATACAGTGATTAAAGTACCCAATTGTTTCAAGAACTGTGCAATCGTATCTTCGTTACGAACTGTTGCAAGTAAAAACAGCATAATTATTTGACGTTATAAGATGTTTCAGTCCTAATGCCAATGATGCAAATGAATCGCTTTCATACAAAATATCGGCGGCAATAATGACGTCGGGCTCTGACAAGCTCTTTGTCATATATTCATTGATATCCTCCCATCTCAACTCCACTACTTGAACGTTGCTACGTTGATATTTTAACTGCAACTTAATCCTTGACGTTGTGTCGCGCACGTCCAGTGACTTGCGCTGCTCGCTTGACAGAAAATTGAGTTTTATGTTCTCACAGAGCATATCGAGCACTGTCGGATGATAATCAGAGAAAACATATTGCTTTGGAGAGCATAAACTGATAACGTTCATACCAGTTTGCCCGACTCCACAACCAAGTTCCAACACATTTTTTCCATAAAACTGTTCCGTATTTTCTGCACACCATTCGCTTAACACTAAGCCACCCTGTCAGTCGTAATAGAAAATGTTTAACTTCTAGAAGCATTTATGTTATAAATGTTTGTATAAATAGAAACATACTTTTAAAGGGAGTTTCTACTTAAAGAGTTCACAAAAAATTTTTTTTTGCATTTTTTAAATCTTTTATATGTGTAAATATGTGTGTAAAGAGATTTTTTGGAAACTCGGAAAATTTTTGAAGTTAGAACAAGACGTAAATTCCGTGCGCTTGGAGCGTAAATATACAATCTTCTTTCCGGTTTGAATCTGTCGAAAGGTCGTTCAACTCGTCTTTTTGTACCTGCGCTCCGAGCGCACGGATTTTATCTCTACGCCTTGTTCCACGCAATAGCGTCTAACTTCGAAGATTTTTCGAATTCCCCAAATATTTTAAAATGATTAATTCATTAAAGAATAATAAGGAAATAATTTTAAAATATCATTGCACATTAAAATATCATTACAATAATTGCAAAATATCATCACAGGAAATAAAAACATACCTGCCAGCTACATAAACCTGTAGTCCCTTTAGAAATCATGTTTGTACTCTCCTTTAGTGTAATGCAATTTAATGTTCCATTTTCTAATAAAAAATGACGATAATGCACATCCTCTTCATCTGGCAATGATAGTAATTGACAATACGTCACATATAAATCATCGTAAACTTCATTGTCGCTTTCCTTTATCTGAATTACATGTAATGAATAAAAGAAAATAAATTTTTTAGCTTGTCAAATCAATACTGTTCTTGCAAAGTTTTAAACATACTTTTTGCATAAGTAATTTTAAAAATGCTCTCTGATACGACGTTTTAATTGGATATTGTTTAATTAAGTCATTGTTTATTGTACCGTCTAAAATTTGCTTCTGAATATCTAAAGTAAGAGTAAAATCTCTGCGGCCATCCTGTAAAAATATGTTTTAAAATATATTAAACTTGATCATCCAGTAATCACAGAAATAGTAAGAACTTAGTAATTTACATACCATAAAGTCTATTTTGTTTATCGCAGTACAGCAAAGGAATTGCTTCGTTAAATAGCTTATATTATTATCATAACTCATATTGCCATCCATTAAGTTAGTTTAAATTCTACTAGAGCTTAATATTTCATCCGATGTACGATGTCGATTAAGAAAATGTTTTCTGTAGGTGAACGACTCCAGATTATAAACGCAGCTCCGATAGTGGAAAAACTGAACACAAATGAGAACAACGAACATATGTACTTCAGATAATAAAAGAATGTAGAAAATTCCTTGGTGGGCTGTATAAAATCTTCACAGAGATTATATGTAGTCCATTGCTCATGAAATCGTTAAAACCATTAAACTAGAGTGTATTTTTTTTTTTTTAGATAATCTTCAACAAATCCTTGGCTTCAACAAACCTATATATAGGGCGTCGTCACCTAGTAGGAGCTTGTGCGCGTTTGTCGTTCTTAGAGTTTGTTAGTCGCCTTACTAACTGTATCATTTCGTATCACTGGTAGTCTTGGAATTGCTGAGGCTTAATTTGCAAATCAACGACAATCCTATATTCAAGATGCGTTCCATCATGCATGTTGTCGCTGTAGCTTTGATATATTCATTGCTGCAAACAGGTAAATATATATACATTAACATAGGCTTTGCTCATTTATCATTTGTAACTGTATTTTACATTTTCTAGTTAATTGATATATGATTTCTCACTTTTCTAGCGCTATACTTACCCAAAATAGAAAAATCCTCTTCATGCTAGTCTGTGAATAATATGTGATATCATATGTGTTAATATAATATTGAATTTCAAATATTTTAGTTACGAGCGACGACTTACTAGGGTTCGAAGTATATAAATTTTTTGGTGACGTTGCACAATTAACGTGTACTGTTAAAGGAAACAAAACTGAAGTATTGGCAAATGCTTATTGGCAGAAGACCGACTCAAATGGTTCAGTAATATATAATGTAACAAGTACATATGACAGACACGTCGTTTGGTTTGATGAGTATAGTATATCTTTAGGGGTAAGATTTTATTAAAATAATAATAATAATAAAATAATAATAAAATTAAAATAATCCCAATTTGAAGATCTATTCGTTACATGATGTTTTTAATATGGAATTAACATTCGTTATTTTTTAGATTAAAGACTTAGAAGAAACAGATAGCGGATGGTACGAATGTAAAGTATTCTTCAATGAGACCAATACAATGAATAGCGTAAACGTGAAATTGATAGTTGAACCGAACCCTCATTTGCCAACAGCTTTCCAGCGATTAAGGTCTGAACTTATCACTAGCTGGAAACGATTTATGTATTCAATTATTTCTGCATTTCGAGAGTTATATCTGAAAGAGATAGATTATGAGACTCATGATATATGATATATGAGTCACATCTGGCATAAGTAGCCATACACATTATAACAATTATATATCCTAATATGTGCTATGGATATAATAATATTAGTGAATAAGTATTATAAACTTTTCTTCAAATACTTGTTTATATCACAAGTTTATCTCAGTTTATCATTTGGAACTATATGTGTAATGTACTAAATCATTTGTGTGGAACATAATAAAATGTTATAAAAAATATTTTTTCTTCAGTTATACATTATACTCTCCATTTCACAATTTGAAAGACTTGCTGATCGTTTAAGAAAAATATAAGGATTTATACTCACCTTTACAACTTGTGAATTGTTATTACAAAGCATCCACCAGCAGCAAGGATACGACATAACTGCATAACCAATATGTTTAGATGTCACTCGTGTGAGCGGTTTTTTATTTTTTTTTAGTTTTTTGTTTTTTTTTTTTTTTTTTAGTTTTTTTTCCCCCGATCATGTGACCTGCCGCCATTTTTAACGGTGAAAATCCAGTATCGTATACTACAATTAGAGAGTCCCGAACATGTTTTTTCAGAAATTTTATTTTGGGTTTATTTAAATATTTAAGCGTGTGGAAAATTGAAAAATTGTGGTCGATCAAAGTTTAGTCTATTTCTGACTCACGGATTCTACACTAACACATTCGTAAATTACACCCGATTGGTATAACCTGGCTCAACCAGATCAATGGTGGATGCGTACAGGAAACCTGCGTAACTTCTCCGCCGCCTGTCGAGTGAACGTACTAGTTACACTGTTGTAACGTCCGTAACCTGAAATTACTTGGTTCTTCGATTTGGTTTGATTCGCTTGTGTGTTCGCGTTTTCAGTACGATCGAATTATTACGGTATGGCTGATGCCCTAAGTTTAGATGACATAATTAAAAAGTCGAAAACACCAGGAATGAGAGGCAGAGGGTGAGAATTTTTATCTAGTTGACCGGTGGAGTTTCGTTAGGTTTCATTCTTTTGCTGTGATTCTATAACCTTCACAATTACGTTTACTCTGACCGAGAAAACTTTTATTACGTCAACGTTCCTTGGTCAAATTTTTATCTGGATTAATGAATGTTCAATAATTTCGTTGCAAAATCGTCCGAATGGATTAGCACGCATGAATATTACAGACCTAAGCAACTCAAGAATGAAATCTCCGCTGTTCGAACTTTTTTACTAATTGTACAGTATGTTTGTGTAATTTCGTGCAAATATACAGTTTTGAATAAAATGTAAGGAGTTAGATCTGCACGTCTTTTTGCAATAATCTTATTTCACTACCGGTAAAAAGAATAAAAGTAAAAAAATTAATATTGCATAATTTGCACAGGGTACGAAGAGGACTGAGCAGAGGCTCTCGCATGAATGGTTCTGTAAGAGGACGCGGCTCACATGTGATTAAAGATGCACGGTTTAAAATAATACAGAAGAATCGTGAAAAACTGACCGACGCTAGAGACAAGCTGGCGGAAATAGCGAAACAGAGCGATGCGAGACTCAAGTTAGACAAGATTCGTGCGTCTCAGTATAAGAAGATAGATGCGCAGATTCCCGGAATTTCACGTAAAACTGGTCGAAATGGCAGGCTGTCGTTATCAACGAACAAAGTACCACCCTTGATGCCGCATGCTTTACCACCAAATATACCAAACAATTACATGCCACCTCCTACAAGAGCGGTGGGCTATAGACCAGCTTCCCTTTCTGAACCGCATTACTTAGGAGATATGAGTATGGATTATACTAACGGTATGTGTAACTATATGCGAATCGTGCACATCGATGAAAACATTAAAATAGCTACTTATGCCAAGCGATCTTTTCTAGATTATCTAATGGATTCCCCTTCATTGAGAAGAACTGTGAGTAACGAATATGCACCGACACCACCACCTCCACCTCCTGTGTTCAGTATTAATCCGACTTCTCCTTACACTTGGGTGAAGCCTGCGAGCAGCAATGCGGCTAGGATTCCGGCTCGAAAATCTGACATGGAAAGGGAACGAGAGAGACAGAGAGATTATAAACTCGTTGTACGCTCCGCGATGGTAAATAATCTTGTAAAAACGATTCTGCGCGAACTTCTTATGCAAGTTCTTCAACTTATGTTATCATTGTAGACGAAGACTGCTTCCCCTCCTTATAAAGAAGACTGGAGTTTTGGCACAAAGTCGAGGTGAACATTCGTGGCAATAAATTTTGCAGAAAATTGTTAAAGAGTCAACCGATTGATTTATGACTCTGATTACAGAACAATTCTAGCGGAGGAAACAACAGATTCCAAGTACTATGAATCCAGAAGTCTTCGAGATATGGGGATTAAATCGCGTCTTGAGTCATCCGCGAATAAATCGAGGACAATAAGCGCTTTATCGCGACCGAAAGTAACTTCCAGTTCATCAACGCAGTCGACAGGCTATCGAATTGTAGTGTCCAACTTGCAAGCGAACGTCACGCAGGAGGATATCAAGGTGCGGTGCAAACATTTCTGGGCAATTTTTTTTCTGAAAACGTTTGTATTCATAAAAAAATATCGTTCTTCGCAGGAGTTATTCGAAGACGTTGGAGAACTGCTCGTATCGAGATTAGTGCGTCCAGGAACGGCGGAAGTGATCTACAAGACGCTGAAAGACGCGACTAAAGCTGTGGAAACTTATCACAATCGACAATTGGATGGTCATCCAATGAAATGTCTTCTTGTTAATCCGCGACCAAAAAATAATCCAACTGGACCAGCTGTTCGTTCTCTCACTGAGTGAGTAGTAAAATCTTTCCGTGTACAAAACAATATGCTGCGCGCGATATTGTGTTCTACTGCATGTCGAATATGAAAGAATAATACAGTTCTTTCAATCGATAGTGCATGGAACCCTAATTTTTCGCCTTTAACGCTACAATTTAAGCAGAAACTAACTGAGAGTAAAAAAAAATAATTATCTTAATTGTTATGTCTTTTAAAGGAAGACGACAAAATCTTTTTCTTCACGACGAAATTTCTCTTTCATAGGTCGAGGCGCAGTGTCAGCTCAAGTTATGTACAGCCGAGTTTAGGAGCGGTGCATCGCGCGTTATTCGATGATTCTTAATCGAATGTTTGTGCACATCTTTTTTGATATAAGTTAATACTAAGATATGTCATGTACATGTAACAGATATGCAACATAATATTAGGGCAGCGAATGGAGAGAAAACAAAATGCAGGTTGCGTATCTGTGGAACACGCACGTTTACACGTGCGCAAATCGAATTCCCAACTGCAAGTCTATCAATAAACTTGTACCACTCATCATTATTATCTTCAGTCTATGCGGTCTATACAGTCAGCTAACACTGGAACGTCTGTAGATTGTTCTTGTTATTTTTGGATCACTTTTATTACGCTTTGTTTTTCATCTGCATTTTTGTTTCTCCGGGTGTATTATTTAAAAGTAATAAATTATATCGAATTGAAAATGTTCAAAGGACAAAGGGCCTTCGTTTCTTACGCGGCAGGTGATGAAAAAATTTAGGCGTTCTGGTGTTCTGGTGTTCTGTTAAAATAGAGAAAAAAAAAAAAAAAGACTTACACTAGTAGAACTGTCAAAATCGTATATCGGGTGCAAGTTATCTCTTGTACATTTAACATGTCGGAATAAAATGGTATTCACTCATATCTTTTATCGATGTTTTGTCCACAGGAAAGAATCTAATAGATTTTTATGTAAGTATATTCATGAATATAATCAATTGGATGATTTGTATATGATTTTTATAGCATTAAGTTTTCAGTGGCTGTACTGAATTACATATTTCTGCATGTTCTTATAGCAAGGTATATAGAAGTAAATACGAAATAAATTTTCTTTCTCATCGACGATCCGATCCATAGTATTTTTATTGCATATTCGAAAAAGAGTGCGGGGGGGAAGGGGGGAGAGAGAAGACAGAAAAAGGTGAAACTACGATACGATAAAGAATTTATTTATTTATACATACATGATCACAATATTCATACCTACAAAATATAAAAGCTGACACACCACGCGCATGATGCTGCTGAGACATGCACTAAGAGTTCACCTCTCGGAGAGGAAGGTGTACATTATTATTCGGAAAATAGTGCGAGTTTCATAATCGGAAGTTGATATTTTGACACGGAGAGTAAAATGGCACATAAATAACTGTTTCTCTTCTCCGTAACGATTAACAACAACAAGTCGTTAACATTTACTACACGCCGCGTCGTGACGCTCTCGCCGCGTGGAAGGAAGGGGATATACAATAAGATACAAAACGTTCAAATTTTAAAACTAACGCCCGCGCGCCAATTAGTGCCTAAAAATCATTTGCCGCTACACGCCATCCGCACCGTCGAGATATATATATTTACAAGCGCGAAACAATACTGGAGTTTCGCCGCGGAGCGCGATCGCGGACCGACGCGCGCGGGCTTCTCATTCTAGTCGGGATACAATTCGGAATATAAAATTCTAATCTTGCACGCGCCCCTCGTTTCGCCTACACTCGTCCCGTTTAGCTTCTACGATGATGATGATTATGATGATGATGATGATGATTGTTGGATCTGAGCTTGTTGTTCGGTGTGCGAAGAACCTCCGCGTAGGACAGCTCCAGCCGTTTCAATCGCGCCACTTCTTCCGACGCGGTGCTAGGCTTGTAATCCCTGTATTCATAATTGTTTTGCTGCTGTTGCTGCTGCTGCTGCTGCTCGGTCGGGCGCGTGAACGCGTGCTGCCTCTTGATGTTGTCCCGCGACCGGTTCGGACAAGCGTTGTTGTGCTGACCGTTCCACGCCGCGGGATGCTCGTGCTCGGCTGGGTTGAACGGCTTGAATCTTCTTCGGCCGCCGCCGTTGGATTTGGGCGGCACGAATTTCGGATTTGTCGTCGGGATGACGTCCGGCGTGCACGAACGGTCGTTGCAGTGCACCTTCTTCACCGAGTTCTTCTTCGCCGCGGACTTCTTGCGCACACGCAAGTTGAGGGACACGTAATCCATTCGGCAGCTGCCGTCCTTTCCGTCGTGCTGGCCGTTCGCGGTGACGCCGCCGGACTTGCTGTCGGCTTGCCGGCCGTCTTTGGGCGGGCTGGCGGGTTGCATTCTGAATACTGGTTCCGAGACCACCGACGACACCATGGAGGACATGACGCTCTGATTGTCGTCCGTCGCCTCGCTCTGCCGATCGTCCTGGAAGGACGTTTCGCGGGTCGCCTGAGACGCGGCGGAATCGTCCAGCAACGGTAGCTTCTCGCCCTCGTCCTTCGCCTCGGCCGCCCGTTTCAGCACGCTGAAAATCTCGCTGAAGAGCTGCCGATACTCGGGCGTTTTGCGGAACCTGCTCTCGAACGGACTGTTGTCGTCGTAGATGCTGAACTTGCAGTCCTCGCCGTCGGCGATCGAGCACAGGAACGAGCCCGATCTGTCGTCCGTCTGCGTCGCTTTGTTGCTCGTCTCGTCCGAGAAGCCCGACGACGACGTCTCGGCCTCGGAGAAGTCCGTCGGGGTGGCCGAGAACGGTTTCTTGCCGGCGATCTCGGGCTTCGTGCGCGAGACGGTCTTCGCCGACTCCTGGACGACGGCGACCTCGGTCTCCGAAGCGGCGGGATAGAAATTGTTAAACTCCCCGGACATCTCCAGCTCCTCTTGCAACGACATGCACGCCGGCGGGACGCCGTCCTTGCGACGGGGCTGACAGTGCCTCTGCACCTCCAGCAGAGCCTGATACTTCTCCACCAGGACTCGATATGGATTCGCGCTATCCGTTTCGTCGGCGCCGCCTTCGTTCTTGTCGCCTGTGTCCTGTGTGCAGGCAATTTAAGTGTATGCAGTTGGAACTGTATGAAGGACCACGTTGACATTTTATTTAATCCTTTCGGGACGAAAGCTTTTCAACTCGTTCGAAACTTGTTAGTTAACAATTTTGTTAACAACTTGTTCCAGGAATTTGTACACGATTTTGTTTTCTCGGGATTTTCAAGGTTATTGAATTCGAAATTCCAAAATTTGGTCCGTCATTTTCGACCTCAGATTAAAGCGTGAACAAATATCCTTCTCTCGAAGATGTCCGCCCGAAAAGGGTTAAATTCGATTAGGAAAGTTATTTATGGGAGAAAAATGATTAATGTACAACTTGACATGTAACCCGTACATTAATGTTATGTAAATTGCACTTATTTTTCCCTCTTTGATCGGTGCAGTTTATGCGCGCAATTATACGAGACGTTACGTGAAAAGAAATTAAGATGGAAGCAAATGGAAGGAACTGCCAGATTTATAGGATATTAAAAATTGCAACATAGTTTCCATGAGAAAATGCTTTATTTAAAATCTTATAAATCTGGCACTTATACATTGTACAAAGTAATCGAACAAATTTGACTAGATTTTCAAGAATTTCGATAATGAAAGCCCGCTCAAATCGATAGTCACAAATAACCGAATTGAATGCTTTAACGTTTCGCCGAAAGAAGGCACTTGGAAATTTTCAAAACTCTTCTAAAAAAGTTTTTCAATTGTGAAATTAAAAACAATTAAAATTATAATACAATATGTACATATTACGTCACTACTAGTGTCACTTGAAATCGCTTAATCATTTTAATTTGAAACAAATCAAAACGATAAGAAATTTAACAAGAAATCAAATACTCTCGTTTCAATTTTGTATAAAATCTAGAAAAATATATACAACAGCATATGCTAAATATTTCTCGAGAGAGTCAAATTAAAGTAAATCTGAATATCTTGCGCGTTAACATTACGTGATCTTTGATTTCTGTCGTTTGAACAACCAAAAACTGAGAACAATCAGAGACATTTTCCGAAAGATAAATAATGGCATTCGGATAGGTGCGAACACTATCCGAATGATGCGATGAGTTGTAACGCGGCTCAACGCTTCGTAAAAATGAAATAATAACAATAAAGGCACGTTTTTGCAAGCACATATCTTCCACAACAGCCAACTATACCATTTATGTTCCTTTCGCTTGGATTTAGCGAATTTTGCCTAAAGCAGATAAAAGAGAATTACTATGAAATTCTAGAGAAGAATTCTAGAGAAGAATTCTTTAGAATTCTGAAGAAACCACTCGAGTGCAAAAGACGTATTTTGTGCAAATATGAACAGTTCGCCAACAGCTCTCGCAAAAGTATGTCGAATATCAGAAAGGAATACCTGTATCGCTGGTTCGACGTCACGCTGACTCTCACTGGCCAACGACTCGGCCATGCTTATGTCGTCGTACTCTTCATGATCCAACATGATGGAGAATTCGTCGTGCGTTCTCGTGTCTATGCCGCGTAAACAACGCCCGCATAACTGGCCGCGTCTACAAAGGCATTTTCTACTTAGTTCGCAAAATATTCTCATTGCGATACGCAGAATTTTCGCGACTTGTTTCCGTTAAAATCAACTTCTTAGGTGATACGATAATCGTATCTCTCAACTAAATTCGCGGGAAAAAAACGCGCGCACCTGACTTCCTCCAGAGTGCTGATTTCATCCTGCAGACTCTTCACGTCCTGCGCCTTGTTGCGCAGTTCGGTTAATTGTTCCTCCAGCGTGCTGTTCTCCTGCAGCAGGGTGGTCAGCTGCTGACTGAGCTCCGACACCTTCTTCTGCTCCCGAGCCCTCTGACTGCGAGCGTCCTGCAACTGCCTCAGCAGTTTCGTCATCTCCTCGTCGTTCGCCGTGGCCGGATCGGTTGTCTCTTGGGAGCACTTCGGCGAGTTCGGGGCAGCTCTCTGAAAGCAGAGGGAAAAAAGTAACGCTATTTCTTTTCACTGTCGCTTACGTGAAATATGTATCACGCGAAGCGACTGACGCGCGCACACTCGAATCGCGCCCACCTGTTTCTCGCTGCCACCTTGCGTGTCCAAAGATTCCCAATCGCCGCACTTCTTCGCACTCTGTTGTTGCGCGTTGCTTTTAAAGGGGCTCGCGGCTCGCTGGCGCAGGTTCTCGGTCAGCTCGTCGATCTTCTTCTGGAGTTCCTCGCATCTTATTTCCAGATTTTCAATGGTCACGGATTGGCTGAGCGCAAATCATCACGAGGATTATTAAAGGACTTCTCTTGTCGTCGCGATATCGCGGATATCTTTCCTTCGCAAACCGAGTCGGAGAAAAATGCACGCGTGCTAGTCGACTTGGTTGAAGAAGCGCGTCGATGCGAAACCCCGGAGCAACTTTGCGAATACGCTGCATATCATTAATAGCAAGGGGCTTGCGAACGAAAAGAAATAGATTGCATCGAAAGATTGGAATTACATGGAAAAATAATATTTAACGGCTCTCCATGAACTCTAATTGTATTGGGCGGTAATGAATTATGTATTTAGAAAGGTGAGCCTAGAGCGGTTCACATAGCCGATACAATACGACGCTAATGAGATATAATAACAGATCTCTCCTTAGGCAGGTGTTTTTCAAGTAATATTCCGCGAAACTTCCATCTACAATTTTAACGAGTACCTTTTTTTTTGCGAGTGAACGCGAGCGCAGAAGCGCTCACCTCTTTATCAATATATAAGAATGAAATTTTGAAGGGGCAATGCTGAAAAACGAGGGAAGAGCAGATGTCACGTCGCGCTTACCTCTTGATCAGCTTCTTATCGCTCGTGTTCTCGATTACCAGGTGATGATTCGCACGTTCCAGATCTTGCACGCTGACTTCCAATTGTTCGTAGACTTTCAACCGCGTGTTGTTCACTTCCTTCAAGGCGGCCGTCTGCTTTTTCATGTACTGCGAAACGAACGAATGACACGTGTGCTTAGCGTGCAATACGCGATTTCAAGATCGAGCGCGTTTATTAATTAATTACAATTTGAGATTATCTTATACGTTAAGAAACAAGCGATATTAAAACTTTTGCATAAAAGAAATCCTCTTGATATTCTGGAATTTATCAATTAAATTTCTTACGAGATCTGTTATTTATATACAATTTAAATTTATTAAAATTCTTTTTCTGTTGGTTTCGTAACGACAAAAAATTAACATAAAAAAAAGCGCGAATGTCAAGGCGCAAAAAAAATTGTTTACGATAAAAAATGGAAAGTCGATAATAAAAGATTTCTGTCTATTATTTAGACTTTGGCAAATCCTCATTGCGCAGTCATGCGTATCCAAGAATTAATATTATTAACGACGAGTAATCAACGGGTTTGCCTTAATTAAGCGATAATTATCGTTCAAATTGTAACAATTACTTGCAAACTTGTTGAATTACTGCGAAGTGTATAATTACCTCGATCTCTTGTGCCTGTTCTTCCACTGTAGCTTGATTCAGCTTGATAATATTCTCCAGCTCTTTATTCCGTTCCAATAGAGTTTTGCCCAGTTCCGCCGCCAACTGAAGATCTACACAGAACAATTACACACCTCGCAATTATTCTTATTTTCATTTGGAAATACACGCATTTCTCCACCGCGTGCAAGTGAACCTTTCGTTCAATTTATTTAAATAAGATAAATATACTGCATCCAGAATTATTTGTGTCAGCAGTCTTTCAAATGCTACATTTTAGGAAAAAATTGTGTCCTCTCCAATTTTTCGGGCACAAAGTTGTCAAGGCTGCCACCTTTAGAAATACACGTGTAATAAATATGTGTATAACAGAAAAATTCGTGCATTATCGGACATTATCATTCTTGTCGGACTTGAAGTGTAAAATTTCCGCGCACCGAGAAAGAAAGTCGATGTTAAAACGAGCTCGCGCCGACGATAAAACGTAACAATATTTGTAAACTTCGTTACGTTCGCAGCGATAAAACCCGAAGACACACGGAAACACGTTGGCGGAATGAAAATCGACCGAGATTTATTCGGAAGGATAATGAACCGAGCCTTCGAGCGATAGCTGCGGGTTGTTGCTCGCCGACAGCGGCAGCGCGAACGCTCCGGTTCACGCTCGCGGCACTCCCTCATTCTGACACCGGCTAGGGCCAAGGACCTTCGGTCGTGCGAGCAAACGACCGAGCTACCAGTCACTCGGTTTCGCGGTGAAGCAACGTGACCCGCGGATGCGCCAGCTTCTCCGACAAGCACAATGCAAAATTGCAAAAACATATCTCCAGACTCGACAGCTCGTCGAAGTGAAAGAGAGAACGTAGACATCTTTGTTCGAAAAATGTAGAGATTTTTTTTTTTCAGAAAAGGAATTTGGTGTTTAACAATACATTTGTTCGATCTTTTTACACATTTTTCCCCCCCCGTCGTTTTCCAATTAACGAGATTAACATGTTAGCTTTCGCTAGAGTCGCAAAACTCGAGTACGTCAAATTTTGGCTTGTCACCGGAAAGAAGTAGCCGCTCTTGTTCGTCGTCCGTCGAACTGAAGGCACTTCTCTCCCTTCGATTCACATCTATTACGGCATCACTTTTTCCGAACTGAACACCACTCCCTTCACATCACCACATGTTAATTGCGTGCCGCGAGTCCTGTCCTCTCCGCGCGAATTCCTGCCTCCCCCCCTTACTTACTATTCTCGGGAGAGGATCCCTTAAGGTTCTTAAGGTACGCGAGCTCGATGGAGTAATCCCAGCCCTCTAAAGAGTTCATCGTCTGTGTCTGCGGATCCCAGACCACGTCCACGCTCTGCTCGCTCATGCTTCGCTGCGAGGTGGGCCTTGCCGCGGCGCCCGTCGTCGTCGTCGTCGTCGTCGTCGTCCTTTCAGACGCGCAACTCCTTCGCGCGGAGGCAGCCGGTCTTCTGCGGATCGCGGATAAGCCAGCCAGTGCCCAAACGTCGTGTGTGCCCACCATCCAACTCCCTCTCTCCTCTCGCCTCTCCCCCCCCCCTTCCGCCGTGTCCTTTCGCGCTTCTGGGCCAGGCCTTCCGCCGCCGTCTCTCCGCAACGCCGTAATCGAGGGGGTTTACCGATGGTGGTCCCACTTCGCGCGGCCGCTTTCCAGAAGTGGTTTTAAATTTCGAATAGCGCCCGGTGCAACAACCCGAATCCACGAGCGCGCCGTTGGCGCGGCTCTTGTCTCTAACGGCCCCGGCCGGTCGGAATAAAAGCAAGCGTCGCGACCTTTTGATCGCTGAGAAAAATGCGCGTTCTGATTATTCCGACGGGATAATAAACGAAGTCCTTCGCCTCTACGCGCGCTATCGCGCTTGGGAAACCGAACGTTTCTCAGGTACTCTCATTCTGGAATTCTGGTCCTCTCTCTCTCTCTCT